CCTTTGACAGTACTGTGCCTGCAACAAGAGAAGTGCTCTACTCATGAAAAAGTAGCAGCTCCTCCTCCTCCTATTAAATAACAGGACTGTTGAATAGCAGCTGTCAGGCCCTAATTAGTTGATGGCCTAAAAGCAGTGGCCGAGTTCCCTGATGGCCTAGTCAAAAAGGAAAAGAAACATGTGGCATCTGGAGGAAACCTAAGAAATTTAGCCCTACGCAAAGTTCAGTTTTACAAAAGGAGGGAAAAGACTAGAATACAACAGATATTCAGAAACCAGTTCAAGGCTGCAGTGAGGTAAGAACAATAGAATTCCCAAAGAGGGAGGGGTCTTGAGTGTTCAGTATGCTGAGATGTTGAAGACTGGAGGGATGCAGAGAAGATGGAAGTGGGGGATTCATTCCGTGCAGGGGCCCTGCTTCTCCTCCCCTCCCAGGAGCCCAGGGCGGGGGCTGTGTAAGCCGATAAGGCGGGTGACCCTGCCCTGGTCGCCCTGAGCCCTTGGTTTGCTTTCATTCTCCGAGGAGTTTGTGCTGTTGGCTGTTCTCCTGTCTCTCCCACCTGGGCTCGCAGCCCACTCTGGATTTATTAGTTTGGATGGGTGGAACTTGCTTTACACCAGGGAAGAATTCCTGGAAGCATGCTTTGAGACTAGATTTGGGTAAATTGAACCCAATTCTCACTGCTCTGGAGTTACTCAATGTTAACAGAAACCTTATTATGAACCAATAAGAGTCCATTTCCTAACTTAGGTCTCTCCAGGTGTTTATTATGTAGTACTTGGGTGTATATGTGCTTGCGGGGAACGTCCTTAAAGTTGGCGGCACTTAGAGCGTTGAAATTCTTGATTTCTCGTAATCACCTGGACTTGACAAGAGTCGGGTTCAGCATCCATGTGTCCTCAGGTCACTGTACTTGGCTGGGATTTGCAGGCACCTGGTTTTCTCTGGGCCTGGATTCTTGCTGGTCTGGCAAGCCAGGAGGAATGGGTGTGGCAGGGACACGAGTCTTGTGGAATGGCCAAGGGAGGGACCCTGTCCCCATGCCTCCTGTCTCCCAGCTTTGTCCCTGTCACCCACTCCCCTTCTGTGTTCCAGAGGCCTAATTCCTGCCCCTCCAAAACCTTTCACAGGCAATAGGCCATTTCACTCTTAAGGCAGCCCTATGAAGATGACAAGGTAGGTATTTTTATCACCCTTTTTCACAGATGGAAAAGAGGCTTAGAGGTTTGCTAAATGCCCCAGAATCAGTGAGCTGAGCAGAGTAAGCACAAAAACCAAGATTTAAAAAAATTCCTGCTCCAGTTCCTCTCTGCCTCCCAACTGTTGGCCTTCTTCACTTGAGTTTCATATACTGAGAATGTGTTCAAGTGGTTTTCCCTGGAAAGGCAGTCTGTTTCTCAGGAAAGATGTTTCAGCTGTGGTGCACTTACATTATGGAGGCTAGCAGGTTTCTGCTGGAAGAGTCTAGAACGTTAAACAAGTATCTTGGAGATCAGTGGGCCCAAATGCTTGATTTTACAGATAAGAGCATCAAGGCCCAGAGAAGTCAAGCCACTTGCCCAGGGTCACACAGCCAGTTCACAGTAAAACCAGTTGTGCAGATTCCCAGTCTCACGCCCCTTGCTTTCCACAAGGGCCCGTAGTCTACTCTGTCACCAGAGAGAGGGGGATGGAGACAGCAGGGAGGGCAGGAAGCAGTTGTTTCGTGTCACTCACAGCTGCTCATTTGGCTGCGCCTGCCTCTTTCTCCTTCACCCTGTCTCCCCATCTCGCCATTTTCCCAGGCCTGAGCCAGCAGCCTTGTTGGTCTACTGGCCGGAGGGCGGGGCCAGGGTCTGTGAGCCAGGGGCCTCTCCTCTGTTCATTGTAATGAGCTGGAGGTGGGGGTCCTCCCCACCCTGGGAGAGGGCTTGCTCGGGTGGGCTGGAGAGAAGGCACTCCAAAGAGGGGAAATTTGGGGTGGGAGCTGCGGAACTGGATTAATTCTGCGGATCCAGGGGGACTGGGAAATAAATCACGTTTTAAAAAGTCTTTTCTTTTTAAAAGACAGGCTCGTTTCTGGTTCGCTTCCCATTTTCCTTTGGAAAGAGGGAAGGCTTGCTTATTGCGGGGTGGGGGGCGGGTGGGCATGAGCTTGAGTTGTTCCACACTTAGGAGTGGGGACTCGGTTTCCAGAGGCTGAGGGATCTTTCCCTGTCCACTCCCCCTGGCCTGCCCAAATGCCCACACCCCAAAGTCCTGGAAGGGCGTCAGACCCTTCAAGATGATTGTTGAAAAACCCAACCAAGCAGCAAAGGCCTTGTGAGCATTTAGTCCAGGTGGGCCAATGGCCCCCACTTCTCTCTCCTGGGGTTTTAGAGCATCTCCCCATTGAAAGAGAACAGCTCCCCATCTCTGACAACCTCATCTCCTAGCCTAGGGCCTGGCAAAACCACTGCCCACAGGCCAAACCCAGCCCACCACATGGTTTTATAAATAAAGTTTTATTAGCACACAGCTCATTCATTCCTCTACGGATTGCTGGGGGCTGCTTCTGCACTGAAACAGCAGAGGTGAGTAGTCTCAACAGAGACCACGTGGCCCCCAAAGCCTAAAGTATTGACCTTTAGTATCTGGCCCTTTACAGAAAGTCTGTCGCTCCTCCTCTAGCAGAACACGTCTTCCTGGGTCCTCCAGGCCCTTAGCCAGGTAATTTCCCTTGGCTCACTGACAGACATTAGCACTTCCCAAAAGGCTTCCTTCTGAAAACCCCAAAGGAAAGTGTACAAAGTAACAAAGCCAGCAGAGAAGGACAGAGGTGTGGGTAACCTCTTAGCTGGCTCAGCCCAGGGCTGGGATGCACCTGGCAATAGGCCTGCCCTAGGGCGTTAGGATGGCCTTGTTGAGAGGCGGCCCACTTGGCCACATGTGGGGCACAGGAGCAAGAAGTCAGCCCCAGCAAGATCTGGCACCAGGCAATGAAGCCCTGCATTCTGAACTCAGACCCACTCGGCCACAGGAGTTTAAAGCTTCTGAGTGTGTCTGCCTTGTCTTACCAGCCCTGCCCCACCCGGGACATGAAAGCAGGGCCAGCCTGGCTCCTGCTGTCCCAGGAGATTTCTGGCCACAGGATGCTGAGTGTAGCCCCCCAGAGTCCCTCTGCCCCCAGTTCTAGCGGACCCGGTGTCCGGGGCTGTCTGTGGGAAGCATCTCTGGGTGCCAGCATTTTCTTGGTGCATCCAGTATTGAGCTGCCATCCAGGTCTTGTCCTTGCAACTCCAGGAGTCTGATTTTCCTGATGCCCCAAGAGCTGATTGAACCAAGCTCATGGGATATGCCCAGGGGACAGGTTCAGAGACTTTATCAAAGGGGTCAGAGCCTGGATTTGAATCCAGACAGACTCCAGAGGTCTCACCAAGCCTCTCCGTGAGAGCTCCACTCTCCTGGTTCACAGTGAGGACCGGCAGGGCCAGGCTTCCCGGTTCTGTGTGGGAGCCAGCCTGCAATTGGAGGGAGGCTTGCTGAATGAGGGAGAGTTAGGTCCTTTAGTTTGATACCACTCACTTTAAATGGTGAGTGGTATCAAGCCAAAGCCTGAAGCCTGTGTCCCCACAAGAGATGGGCACTGTACTGGCTGTGTGACCTTGGGCCAAGGAACTTCACCTTTCTGGTTCATTTTCTTCATCTGCAAAACGGAGGGAGTACCTTGTCACTGTGGGTTTATTGTGGAAAACAGATGACTTGTTACATGTAAGTGCTCAGCACAACGCTGGATGTGCAGTGAATGCTGTTGTGATTGTCATTACTCTGTCAGGCAGCTCGCTCTCCTGGCCAGCGCTGGGTGGGCAGGCCGAGGGTTTGCCTCTCAGACGTGCACCTCCACGTTTCCGTCTTGTGGTCCCCGCTATAGCCAGTGCTGTTCTCCTCGGGAGGCCATGAGCAGTTCAGCAGAGGAGGCACCAGCTGGGGTGTCCCAGACCTGGTTCCATTTCTGGCTCTGCTACTTTGACCTTGTGTGCACTTGGGCCGGTTCCTTCCCTGTCTAAACTCAGAGATTCCACCCCTGTAAAATGGGGCAAAAAATGCGTACGTATCTCAAGGGATTGTCGGGTGTAAATGAGCCACTGTGACTATAGGTGGATGATCAGTGTTACGTGCTGAGCCTCTGATAGTCTAGAAATGTTCACACATTAATTAGGCTAAGAGCTTCTTGCCTTGTTATGTTACTATAGCACATCTCACAATCTTAAGCTGTTTTAGGTGCTTTGACTTTGTCCTTCCCTCTTGACAGGAGGACAGCTTTTAACCTCATTTCACTGTAGAGGAAACAGGCCCAGATCACACATGACTCTTTGAGCCTGCAATAGAGCCTCATCTCTTCTGGTCACGAAAGGTCCCCATCCTTCTGGGTTGGAGTTGGGGTGTGAGACTCTTTAAAAGGAGGTTTCCTCCCATTCTGCCAGGGCCTGTCTGTCCTCAATGGTTGGGGCTGGGGCAAGGGCTGGACAAGACACAGGCCCAGGAGTGCGGTGCCCGGAGACTGGAGAAAGGCCTTGGACTCCCCAACCTGGATGTTGAAGGTTCCAGGCCCAGGCTGCTGAGCCTGCTGGCCTGGTGAGGATCTTTGGAGCCATGAGGCCCTCTGGGGTCAGCCACCCACATAGCCAGAGAGAAAGGTTCAGGCTGCCTTCTCCAGAGCAACGATAACCCGTGGGCCCTGTTCCAGACAGAGATTGTGTAGGATTCTCTGTGCTCCAGAGGATTCCTGCGTTTTTGCAGACACCTCATTATCCTCGTCCTGGCCGGCAGTGTCCCAGCGCCTCTGTAATCACTCAGGCCCACGCCCAGCAGCCGTCCCAGGGCCAGGAAATCACTCCCCTCCCCTCCCCCGCCTTCCGCCGGCCCAACGCGGCGCCTGCAGCCACTCGCCGGTGGACCTCCTGCCTGCCTAACGGTTCTCTCTCCTCCTCTGATTTCTCTTCTCTCCTGCTGCTGCTTGCTCTCGGGGGGGACTCGGAAGTGTGGCTCTCCAGCTGGGCTGAGTCTCCCAAGAAGGACGTGACAGGTACTGCCTGCTGTGCATGTGTGTGAACATGTGTGTCCCCGGCATGCGTGCGTGGGAGCCGGTGCCCGCCGGCTGCTCTCCGCCTGCTTCCCTGTGATGTGTAGCCACCCTTTGTCGGCATGTCGGGCATCTTCTCACCCCTCTCTTGCTCTTCCACTGGCTGTACCCTCTGCCCTCCTTTTAACCCTTTTTTAGGTCCCAGGTCCAGCCGTGGAGCCCTTTGATGGGTGATGACCACACAGCACAGAATGTGTGGGTTTGATTCCGGCTCTGCCACGTCCTGGCCGTGCCTCCTTAGATGGGTTGCGTAACTTCTCTAGCCTCTTCAAGTGGAAGCAGCACCACCTCACCAGGAGTCTGGCACACAGAGTGCTCAGGTGATGGTGAGGCTGCCATCATCTTCAACCCCTCTGAGATGGACCAGCCAAAGATTATTCATCTCCCTTTAGGCAGTTAATGTGAGGCAGAGAGCTGAAGTCTCACATACCCTGAGCTGAGTTGGGGGGGCAGTGTCAAGTGGTGGGGTGGGAGTGGGGTTGCCTTAAAACTGTGATGAAGTCACAGCTCCCTTGCTTCCGGGATCCAGAGCTTGGAGCTGCCTCTGATCTTGGGGGCCCTTCAGACCTTGGACTGCCTGGCTGCCCATGGCCCTCAGGGACTTGGGCCTGTGCCCTGTGTGTGGGCAGAGCTGGGCCAGGGGTCAGAGGCTTGCCTTTAGCCTTTGTCTTACTGGACAATGGTAGAAAAACCTGGATAGCAGTGTTCTCAGCTGTCAGATGGAGATGGTGGCAGGTAGAAGGATGGTGTTTCCAGAAGGGTCTTCTAGAAGCCCCTCCATTTCAGTAAGTGCCACCTGATCTCCCTTTGCCAGCCCAAACCTGAGAGCAGAGGTGAAGCTCGGGGTTAGGGGACAAAACAGAAGGGTCAGAGGTCTGGGGAAGTGCTGGGCCAGCAAGGAAAGGGAGCCGAACATAAGGGGGTTGGCACAGAGGAGAAGGCAGTGGACAGAGGACCCCTTGCCTGCCCCAGGCCCCTTGCAGTCATCCTTCTGGTGTTGCCTGTGACCAGGGCCTCGGCCTGAGCTAATCACTGGGCTCCTGTCCCTTTTTCCCCTCTCCATGAGCCAGTGGGCCAGAGCCCACTTGGCTCACAACAATACATTTTATTCACCAAACGTATAGCCTGGCTGCCCGAGGGCCTATGGAGAGGCCGGCCGGCTGAGGCCGGCCTGGGAGGAATCAGTTGTGAGGGACTGAAGGGACCTTGGTGGGATGCCTGGGGTTTGGGGGTCATGGAGAGCATGGGGAACCTGGGGCAGGGGCCACCGTAGGGCTTGGCTTCTCAGGATGAGCCCAGCTGTTTGGAGAGAGAGGCTGAGGGGAGGCAATGTGGGCTGGGGGAAACCAGCCAGACTGGGAGTCTGGGGCCGGAGTCTTGGTCTCTCTGTCTCTCTGGGCCTTGATTTCCCCAGCTGGAATGTTGGTAAGTTCAGTGACAGGAAACCCATAGGTAAGGGGCTGAAGCCAGGGATCCTTATAGACAAGGGTCCTTGGGCTGCTTCGGCTGGCATCTACCCATGAGTAGGCTCAGGGGCCTCTGGACTGGCTCTCCAGCTGGCAGTGCTCACTGCTTCCAGGAGGTCTGAGAGAGTCAGGAGAAGGGATGGAGCCATGGCCACCCTTCTCCTGGCGCCTGTGGCCCTTGCCCTAAGCTGCCTGTTGGTTTTGAGGCTTCAGGGGAACCTAAACCCCTCTTTTCCTCCCCACATCTCCCATTTCCTGTTTGCTTTATAAACACTGTCTACAATTTACATAGAACATTAACCCTGTCACCTCATACCACACTCAGAACAACCCCACAATGTAGGTACTGTGATTGTTCCTGTTTAGGGATGTGGAAGCTAAAGCTCAGAGAGGTTAAGTGTCGTCTGCAGGGTCACAGAGCTAGTAAGGGCCTCAGACCCCAATTTTATGCTCTTACATCATGAATCTCAGGCAGTTATGTCCTATGGCACCAGTCCTGGGCTGTCTGTCTACCCTCATCAGGGAGACCCTTGTCTAAGGCACAGGGAAGTCAGTGCAGGACAGGAGCAGGCACTGTGGCTGAGTGATCATGTGGCTCCTGGAGGGCAGAGATGGCTAAGTAGAAAGGGGCTGGTAGAAGGGAAGGCTTTCCAGGCAGGGGAAACAGCTAAAGCAGACACTGGGACCTAAGAACCTATGTAGAACAGTGTGTCCGGCACATAGTGGGTGCCCGATACACGTGTGTTGAACAAATGACTATTGCCTGGATCAGAGGCGTTGTGTGTCAGGGAACTTGGGGAGCTCAGGTTGTCAAGAAAGTCTGAGCTTGAGTGTGGCCTTTCTTCTATAGGCAGCAGTGACCCACTAAAGGTGTTGAAGCAGTGGACTGCCTAGGCAAAAGCCTCATTCAGAAGTTTAACTTGGCAGCCGGGATCTTGCAGGAGCCAGGGGTCCATCCAGGTGGTGGTTGGAGGAATGCAGGTGGGAGGCAAGGATGGGGCAGGGCTCTGGGGAGCTGCCAGGGGCTCTGAGAAAGGCACAAAGGCCCATCCCTGGATGAGACTCTTACAGAGTCCCCTTCCAACCTGGGAGGAGCTCTCCTCTCTGAAAAGGGTACACCCCCTTCTCCATGTCTCTGCTAAAGCCTTCCTGTCTGAAGACAGGAGGCTCCTTCCACTCCCCCTCCCCCTCCCTCGGGCCAACTCCTTCGGCCCCCAGTTTTCCAGGCCTTGGCTGGGAGAGGATCCAGAGCAGCCTCTGTGGGATGACGTCACCCAGCGGCCTGCCTGCCGAGTGGTTTCTCATCTGGATACCTGCTCCCAGCTCACGCCCACCTGGGCAGCCCTGGGCAGGCAACACCCTAAGAGGCAGATGCCAGAGAGCGCGAGCACAGAGCCTGCTTGTAGTGAGGGAGGGTCAGGCAGCCAGGAGGACAGAGTGTCTATTGGTGTGTCCATCTGTCTGTCCCCTAGCCTATGTGCCACTGTCGGTCTTCTGTGCTCTGGAATGCCTGGAGAACATTTTCTTAACTTTTCTACCTGTGTCCCAGAGTGTCAGTCTTCAGACAGCTCAGGCCAATTTTCCAAGGGGTAGGATGGAGGGGGTGCAGTATGTGGATTTTTCCCCTCTTTGAAATCTTGCCTCAGATTTCCTTGGCTTGGATTAAAATGAGCTGATGTCTCTCCATTTGCCGACACCCGACTTGTCCTTTCTAAGCAGCTTTTGGCCACAAATCACTCCTCACTCCTCCCTGCCTCTGTTTCCCCATCTCTCCTTTCTCCCCTCCAGAGTTTAGTTGTCTAGCTTCCCCAAATTTCAGAGATGAGGTCCTGCCTGGTTTATCTGTATTGGTTCAAAGCAAGCCATTAAATCACTCTGTTCATCTATCTGCCCATTCATTCATTTCACAAATGGTTACAGAGTGCCTACCCCAGTGGGCACTGTGATCTGGTCAATAGATGCCACAAGAGTCGACAGGGAACCGACACTCCAGTCTTTATTAAGCATCAACTGTTTGCCACATGCGTGGGTACAGGATGAGGCAGGGTCCCTCCAGATCAGTGGCTCTCTGTAGGCCATGTGCAGGGCAGAAATCTGGACACAAGCAGTGGTGTCAGTTGGGCCTGGGTTCAGTCCCAGCTGTGTGACCTTAGAAAGGTTGCCTCATGAGCCTTAGTCTGCCTTTGCATGAGATGGGGCTATAACAAGGACCTACACCTGCGTTGTTCTGAGAATCAAATGAGACAGCCCGTGATAAGGTCGGCGTTAGGTGGTGCTGCCCAGAGTGAGCACTTAAGAAGGCTTGCTGTTCGTTGCCGGCATAATCGGGGTTCTCTCAGGATTTGGAAGCTCTCTAACCAGCTGGGGAAATCCTGTGTTCTGTTTGTATCTTGGGTTTTCCTTTCCCACACACTGGAAAGGGAGTCCCTGTGTCCCACAGGGCAGAGGCTGGCCCTTTTTGTGCTGGGTGCACTTAAGAAGTGCCCTTGGCCACAGAGGCACTGCCCCTCACCCCAAGGGTGCGGGGGGTGCACAGTGGGAGGTAATCTGTCCGCTCTGTGCCCAGCGCTGTCTCTGTCTGGCTGGTAGGGGCAGGCACGAAACTGGCCCCATCGCTCAGCTGTTGGTTGCATTTCAGCCTGAAATACAATCCTGGCTTTGGAGGGGCTGCCTTGGGTAGTGCGTACCCATGTGGCAGGCCTCAGCTGGGACAAGGTCCCTCTTGGGTCTCCAGGGGGCCGAGCGGGAGCTGCAGGGTGCACACCTCCTGGGAGAAAACTGCCAGGGGCAGTGGATCCTTTCCCCTCCATTGCCCCCTTGCCCTAGGTTAGATGGCTGCATGGGGAGACCCAAAGATCTAAGCAGTGCTTTTCTCACCCTGGCTGTGTATGAGAACCACGTGGGAGGACAGGGTGTCTAAAAAATACCCAAGACCAGTTAAATCTGGATCTCTGGGGGTGGGGCCCAGACATCAGTATTCTTTAAAAGCTCCCCAGGCGATCTTATGGAACCAAGTTGAGGATCATTGTGCTAGAAGAATGGGGTGTCTGGAAATAGGAATCAGAGGCAGTTCTGTAATGGAAAGAGATGGGCTTGAACCTAAAACATTGAATGAATTTGGTTCTCTGTGTAGTAGCTGTGTGAGCTGGGGCAAGCCTCTTGTCCTCTCTGGCCCTCTGAGGTGTCTTTTGTGAAGTGGGAAGGCAGGAGGATTGTCGTGAGGATAAAATGGAACGGTGTACGTGCCTGGCATAGAACATCTGCCAAGTTAGACTCAGGCATGCAGGGAATGTAGCAGCAGGCTGAAGCACCAAGGGGGCCATGTGGAGCCTGGGGACCCTCTCAGCCATTTCTATAGCCAGGCTGGCAATATGAGGCCCCCAGCCTTTCAGGAGATGGGTAGATGTATAGTTTAAGAAGTGTACTAGGAATTCCCTTCTGAGGGGAGATCGGGGGGTATGTAGGAAGGCTTCCTGTAGGTGACCGGTAGGTCTCTGGTTTGTGGATTCTTTCAGCCCTAGCAGGTCTGTATTATCTTAGGTGCTTTGTCCCCACTCCACCCTAGTGGTGGTGATGGTAATAGGCACAGAGAGGTTTAAGCAGCATGTCCACTGTCACACAGCAAGTAAGCTGAGATGGGCACCCAGTCTGTCCACCTTCCAGCCCAGTGTTTGTGCTCTGGTCCGGTGGCTAAGGAGGACAGGGAAGTTGCTTGCTCCTGGGAACCTCCGGCCCACTGCCCTCCTCCTGCTGAGCCCCACCTTTTGACCCCTCAGGCTCCTGAAATTGCCAGGAGAGGGCGGCTGGAGGCTTCCGGGAGCCCGACCACAAGCCCCAGCAGAGCTTAAAGGCAGAGGGAGGCTGAGCTGGTCTCCACGCGGCCGGAGGGCGGCAGCCAGGACAGACGTTGCCGATGCCTTGTCGGGAAGCAGGGCTGGGGGCCCCCTGCCTGGGGCTGGTTCCAGGGCGCCAGGCCCGTGGGCTCGGTGGCAATGCCTTGGTGAGCCCAAGGGGCAGGAATGGAGCCGAACTTGACGAAAAGTTGGCGGGGGGTGGGCTGGGCTCTCCAGTGCTGGCGCTGGGACTTTCTTCTTGGGTTTCAAGTAAACAGTCTCGGCCCTCCTCCCCCTCGCCTGCCTCCACCCCCGGCTCCTCATTCGATGGGTCTCATGTGTTTCTATTTAAGGGCTGCGAGTAAACCCCAGTGATTGGCGGCCTCAAACCCTCTTGACTTCTCGCCTGGGCCCGGGCTGTGGAGCCGTCCTCTCCCGCTCTCTCCCTCTCCCTCCCGAGGGGAGGACTGCTGACTCTTTCTCTGGGTTTACAGGGGTTGGGGGAGAGGCCCGAGCCCTCCTCCCGGCCTGGCCTTTCCTCTCTCCTCCGCTCTGGCCTCAGCCCCCATGGGCCGCCCACCCGCCTGCCCGCGGCCCTCCCCTCACACCCCTGCGGCCAAGGGGTCCGGAGAGACCACGTCCGCGCCAGGCCTCTCCTCTGACTCCCTCGTGCCGGGCTGTGACTAACTCATAGCAGCAGCAGGCCTTCTCCTCTGAGTTCCCTCAGCCTCTCTCATCTCTGTCTGTCTCTCTCCCCCCTCCCACCCCCTCTGCTGGCCCCTGGCTCCCCATGTCCCCCGGTCCCCGCGGTGCAGCGGGCCGGTGTGGGGCCCTGCTATATGGCCTGTCCTTGGGGCCCAGCGAGCTGCGAGCCCTGGCTGCAAGCGGCCCCTCCGAGAGGCGCTGGCGACCGAACAGCCTCCCCCGAGGCCGATGGACAGGGGGCGCCCCGGCCGCGGGGCCATGGCCGGCCGCTGGCTCACCGCGTGCTTTCTGCCCTCGCCAGGTGCCGACACCAACGCCGAGCCCATGATCCTGGAACAGTACGTGGTGGTGTCCAACTATAAGAAGCAGGAGAACTCAGAGCTGAGCCTCCAGGCCGGGGAGGTGGTGGATGTCATCGAGAAGAACGAGAGTGGTGAGTGTCCGGCTGGCTGGCCAGCCACTTGGGGCTCCAGCCAGGCTGGTTTTTGTTCCCCTCCTCCTCCCCCACCTCTGCAGCTATACGTTATTTCCATCTGGCGGGGAGAGGGCCGAGGAGGCTGAAGTTTCCCCTGTTGGTTTGGGCTGCAGGCCAGCAGTTTGCCTGGTGGTGGAGGAATGTCTCCACCGCTCAGGGTAATTAACAGCTTGTGTTAATGCAAGGCCAGGGTGGCAGCGTGGGCATGACTGTCCAGTCCATGTTCATGGTCCCTGTGCCCTCTGAGGCCCAGCGGGTAGGTGGCTCCCGGCTCTGGGGCACCCTACAGCAGCTTCTGTCTTGGGGCCATATTCCAAGCGGGGTCCAGCAGGGGTGGGAGAACCAGGCTGGTTGGTGGGGAAGGCTGGCCATGACGTCACTGTGGGGTCCCGGGTCCTCAGGCCCCTGGAGGACTGTCTGAGGGAAGGCCAGGCCTGTGGAGGTTGGCTAGTATCTAGGCGGTGAGCTGACAGCCTCCTGCTGAGCTGAAGGCCGCCAGGACCTGGGAGGAGGGCCCAGACCGGGAGATGAAGTGAGGTCCTGGGGCTAGGGAGGGTCCTGCAGCAGCTGCCCTGTCATTGGGAACTGAGGCTTTGTCTTGTCTAGGGCCGTGAGGATGGCTGTCTCAGGGGCTGCCAATTCTGAGGTTCTGAGTGGGCCCCCAGTGCCTCAGTACCCTTGGCAGCAAGAGGCTCTCAGGTGGAGAGGTGAGGGCCTGAGTCCATCAATCCAAGATGCAGACCTGTGCAACCCCCTGCAACAATGAACTCTGACCCAGGACATCCTTCGTCTGTTTGCTCACAGATTGCTGAGGCTTGAATTGGTTCCCGGGATGTTCTGTTTTGGTTTCAGTTTGCTGTTGGGGAAGGCCCACCGAGCATAGGAGCCTCTCTGGCCTGGTTTGGAAGACACTCCCAGAGGGGAGGGGAGGGGCCTGTTCTTTTCCTGTCCCACTCTGTTCCCTTCCAATATTTTAAGCTCTGAAACAAAAGCAGACCAAAGGATGCCTGTGCCCATTCTATAGATAGAATAACTGAGGCACAGAAAAGTTGAGGGAAAGTGAGTCACCTGAAGTCAAAAACAGGACAGACCGGGGTTATTCCTGGGTCCCTGATTCCTATGCCTATAGGCAGCAAGTAGCTGTAGAGATGCTGAGGAAATCCCAGCAGGCCTCTTGGGGGAAGTGAGTTTAGGCTTTTGCTACAGGAGGCTCAGAAACTGTGCTTTCTGAGAACAGGGCTGTGATGCCAACATAGGCCTGACTCATAACCCTCCTGGGTCTGGGGTCTTCACAGCCTGTTCCCTTCAGAGAAATCAGGCTCTGCCCTTGTGCCAGGAGTCATCCCACAGTGGTTGGTAGCAGCTGTCCCCACCCGGCAGAGCCACGTCCCTAGCCTAAGGCCTGGTCCTTCACCCCAGGTGCCCACGCTGGTCTCCTTCCTGCACAGCTTGGCCTTCAGCCTTTATCACAGTACCAGCCCCATCTCCCCACCCCCAGAGAAGCTGCCTTGTCAAAGGCTTCTGGCTCTAGAAACTCTTAAGCACTTCAAGACCCAAAGGAAGGGCTTTCTAATGTTGAGATTAAAGACACCTGCTGAGGACAGAGAGCTGTTTGTTTTGGGGCTTGCTCCAAAGGAAGGCATGTCTGCTTTTCCATGTGAGGTCAGGGCTGCTCAGAAGTTGACTTCTGGCTTCGGGACCCTCCTGCCTTGTGCCACCAGCACAGCTATGTAGCACTGGAGCATCAGGAGGAGCCCCCATGTCTCTGGGTAGCAGCCACTGGCCAGGATGGCTTACGAGGAGACCCCACACAAAAGGAAGTCAGCTTGCTTTCAGACTGCCTGACTCCCTTTGCTTCCCATCCCATACCTAGGACCCCGAGGACACTTGGGGTCCTGTCTGGGAGTGGAGGAGGGAGACCCTTGACAAAAAGGGGGTTCTGTGGCAGGCCTGGAAAGGTGTAAGGCACCTCCCCTCCTGAGCAGTTCCCGATGGCTGTTTGAGGGGATGGGCTCAGGTAGCCTGACCCCCCAGGGCAGCCCAGTCTGGCACAGCAACCCTCTGAGGGAGCTACTGTCCCTGGAAGTAGGATTCTGTCCACCACCTACCGGCTGGGTGGCTTCAATCCCTTAATCCCTCTGGGCCTCAGCTATTCCTTCTGTGAAATGGAGACTGGTGGCTGCTTGGAAACTGGGCCTGGAGCAGGTGACCTCCCTGAGCCCTCTCCCAGATCTGGACTCTGTAGCTGGGACACTCCATAGGGCCCTGGGTGTTAGGTGGAGAGAACCTCCCTGAGCATGACCTCTCCACTTTTCTGGGGTTCGTGTCTTTCCCCTTGGTGGACACAGCTGCTCAGCAGCAGATGTGTACACAGGGGTCTTGGAGCACTGTGTCCACCGTGCAGACCCACACTGTCTATTGCCGTCAGAAACAAGGAGGCCTCCTGGACTGTACAACCAGCTTAACTAGAGAAACTAAGTGGGTGGAGGGGAGGAAGGAAAAGGGCCAACTGCAGATCCTTGGGAGGGTGGTTTCCCAGTTCAAGGAAGCTGGATGTCTGATGGTGGGGGAGGGGAGGTGTGTTGTGCATCCTGCAAGCTGTCTTTGGAAAGAGTGGTGAGCAAGGCTTTTGAACTCTGGAACAAAGACCCAATTGTGATGCCTTTGACCTTAGGACATAGTGGGCGTGTTGAGGCATTTCCACTCAAATTGTTGGGGGCAGCAGCCCCAGTTAGTATCACCCTGCCCCCTGGGTCCTTGCCTTGCCCGTTGGGAGCCAGGACTTTGCCTGTGTTCCTCTCTCACTTGACTGAAAGTTCCTAGAGTGTCCATAGAGGGATGCAGCCACCTCTGGCTCTGCTTGCTCATCACAGCCCTCTGGCAGGGACCATAGCCACCGAGGGATTTGGAAGATGGTTGTGCTAGTGCTCTGTAATTTCATTGGTCTAAGGAGAAATGTGTCTCCAAGGCAATTCAGAGTCAGAAAACAGTAAACTAGGTCCAGGCCATGCACTTCACATGCATCATTTTACTGGAATCATGGACCAACCCCATGTGGTAGAGGTGCTTTAACCATTTTGTGGCTGAAGTAACAGGCTAAGAAGTTAAGTCATTTCCCTAGAGTCCCAACAGCTGAGATCTCTCCCTTCTACAGAGGAAGTGGGAGGAGGGTGAGAATGGGCTGATCCTGGGAAGGGTCATCACTGAGCTGATGATGCTGCGGGTCAGGGACAGACATAGGCTAGTTGAGATGACTGCAGGGCTCCCTGGAGCATCATTGCAGAAGGATAGCTCTGTGTCCCTCCTTCCAGCATGGTGCTCATGGGTAGAGGGAATTCTTGTTGTTAATTATTACTTTGAACTTGGGGATGAGCTGCCGCTAAGAGGATCTGAGGAGGGTGATGTACACCCAATACCAAGGTCAAGCCTATTCCAGGGAATGTAAATGAACAGAAGTCAAAGATACCCACAAGTGGTGGGACCTGAGTGGCTTCAGGGAAAGCATTTTTGATCAAACAGCAGGCCTGGGGCCCAGCCAGAAAAGGACTCTTTTTCTCCGTTGATCAACAGGGACAAATCTTGCAGAAAGATTCAACAGCTTTGTTAGCTTTGCCAACTATTGTCTTGTCCTTGAAAACCCCTCCACCCTGGACATAAACAACAGTGCCTGAGATGATGTCTGAAATAACGTTCTTATCCCTCAAAGACCACATTGGCTTTACCTTCCAGCAGGCAAAATCTGGTCTGAGTTCTGGCAGAGTGGTACTGGCAGGGTTCCAGTTGCTCTGATTTCTGTGTTGAGCAAAGCTGCCTCCAGCTTTGCAGGATGGTTTCCTTCTCTCAGGACTAGGGGCCAGGGCTGGATGTGGGGACATGAGTCAGCAGATGCTTTTTCTTCTTCTGCTTCAGCTTTCCTTCTCTGAGTCTTTGCTTCCTTCCTGGCACTGGAGTTCTTATACTTCCTCGGAGGCACATAGCTGTAGGACTAAGGTTAAAAGCATTGTGTTGGCAAGGGATGTTGAGCTCCTGGGCCATCCAGGTGAGAAATTGTACAGGTGAGAACACTAAGCCTTGGAGTTTGAGAATCTTCAGTTCCCTCCCAAGTCAGTGCTTTAGTCCCAACTGCGTTGTGAGCAGAGGACAGACATCCACTCAGACTTGCTCAAGAGATTATTCAATGGATTTGGGAAAACCTCACCAGAACCCAAGCAGAAAGCTGGCATGAGACACAGCAGCTGCTCTTCTCTCTGTCTCTCTCTTGGGGACCATGTGGATTTAAAGCAGTGGTCTCCTAACTGCAGACTAGTCTTCCTTCTCTTTATGTTCATTCATAACAGCAGCCTGCTGTTGGTTTGTAAGGGCTCGACTTTTCAGTTGAGGTAACCGCCACCAACTGACAATGGTCTCTGGTTCTCCGAGTTCAAATTTTAAAGTTTGAATCTGATTGGTTCCTGGCCAACCAGTGGAGTGACAGATCTTGGATCAGGTGTCCAGCCCTGGGCCAATCAGCTGTGTCTAGAAGTGCCATGGAGTATAAACATGGCTACCTTGCCAGCCTCTTCAGCAGTGGCTGTTGGAGGACAGGTTTTAAAGAAAGGTGATATAGGGGAGTATGGTACCCCAGAACATGTTGGCTATTTACTTAGCAGCTGTGTGTGTGGAGAAAGTGGAGAAAGCAAAGAATCAGGAATCTGAATATTGGGTTTAAGATCTAATGCTACCCTAACTGGCTGGTATAAGCAGGAATCCATTTCCTCATGCGTATAAGAGAACAGTGACACATACTATGTCGGATTTTTTTTTTCCTCAATAAGATGTAACCATTTATTATTTGACAAATATTTTTATCAGTAAGACACAGTAATAAGCTCTCCTCTCAGATCTATGTGCCATAATGATTATTTCATGCTGTCGAAGATGATGCATTCTTCAGCCATATCTTAACATTGAAGGTGTAT